GTGCTCTGCCCAGGGCGTTCTTCCACGCCCGGGGCTGGAACTGTCCCTCCTGGCTATTCTGGGCACTGGGGTAGTCCAGGCTTAGCAGAGCCAGGCTCCAAGGCTCACCTGCATCATGGATGAAGGGCAGAAAGGTATCGGGGAGAGTGTCCGGGACATTGGGGTGGTCAACCACACGCCCTATGGAGGGGGAGCTGTGGTCTTGCCATCCCCCCAGGTTGCCAGAGCCTGGGGTATGGATCCAGCCCCTTCCTGCTCATCCCTGCCCCAGCTGACAAAGGTCCTCTCAGTACAGCTGTATCTGCACTCTTAAGAAAGACGTGAACAGTCTGTTCTTGTTATGTGGGTGTTTCTCAAACTTGTTAGAGAAGAATCCGCTGAAAGCTCATTAAATGCAGGTTCTCAGGCCCCGACCTGCTTCGGCCCCTGTCGGGGGCCCTGGAACATGGATTCCTCACTGGCTCAGGTAATGCTGATGGGGGAAGAGGGCTCTCAGGAACTGCAGCCAACTGTGGCCAGAGCACCTCTCCCCTAAGTCGTCCCCAGTGGTAAGGCAGCTGGAGACGAAGGGAGAGAGGCCTGATCTGGCCAGGCAGGAAGGACGCGCGGGCCAACCCTTCTAAGCTGCCACCATTGATAGCCCTGGTGAGGGCAGGGCTGTGAGCTGGGCTGGGGCCCTGGTGCAGCGGGGATCCTGGTTGCAGCCAGGAGGCAGAGGACGAACAGACGGCCGGCCGTGTGTCGGGGCAGTTTGGGGTCATGCGTGCAGTTTACTTCAGTGCTCCCAGCAGCCCTCATGGTTTGGGGGGATTGTGGCAAGTTGCACCCCACCTCAGCCTTCTGTCCATTCCATAAGAACAACGACAGGAGGGCCGTGGCCAGGGACCTCAGTTGGTTAGAACAGACTCCCAATACATCAAGGTTGTGGGTTTGATCCCCAGTCAGGGCACATACAAGAATAAACCAATAAATGCATAAGTGATGAGAAACAAATTGATGTTTCTCTCTGTCTCACTCTCTCCCCCTTCCCCCCGCCAAATCAATAAATTAAAAAAAAAAAAAGCGGCAATAGGAGGACAAGCCATACCGTGGGCACTGTGGAAGCAGTTTGATTATGGCCTGGCGCCCGCTGGGACTCTGGAGATCCCCGTCATCTCTGAGTTCCCTCGCCCCAAGGGCCAGCCCCAGTCCAGGCCCCTTCCTCACTGACTGGTCATCTTCACTGCTCCTTTCCCTCCTGTGCAGATGGACTATTTTCCAAACTGCGAGGTTGATCTCCGTGTCCTCTTGAGGCTCGTTCTTGGTTGTGATGAGCTACCTCCCATCCCTCTTTGCTCCCCTTGCACCCCTTTCCTCCTGTCTCAGGGGACAAAGGGCCCACAGGCTTGATGAGCATGGAGTGTGATAGGGCAAGCTCCCAGCACTGGCCTGCTGGCCCGCATAAATGAGTTGCTGCTGACCCCTGGTGCCAGGAATGTCCACTTGCCTTGATTCCTAGAGCTAGGCGGTCCCTGGTGGTGTGTGAGGGCACAGGGCTGCGGATGGCAATGGCCTGGGAGTGGGCTGATCCCTTAGTGCCCTCACAGGACTCTGGCTAGACGGCCTGGTTAGGAGGAGACGGGGTTGCACGGGCCTTGAGCAGGGGCCACATGTGCAAGGAGCTGTTATATGATGTCCCTGGTCAGAGCTGGCTCCAGGGAGGTGCGATTGGTGTAGTGGAAGGATGGGATCCAGGAAGAAGCCCAGAGCTGGACAGGAGGGGCCAGCTTTGGGGATGGGCTGTAGATGGGCCATCGGGGTGTGGGGGAGAGGGCCTCGCTCATGTTTCTGCTGGTCGTTTCACTCTGTTGTGACTTCAGTGACTGCATGTCCCTCCCTGGTGTAAGGCCACAGGCCAGGTGCCCAGCAGGCAGTAGTCAAGGCAGATGATACCCTTGGGGAGGGGCAAAGGGGTAGCAAAAGAAAACCAGATTTCCAGAGTGCTACTGCCATGGGGGAAATAAACAGGGTGCTGAGTGAGGCAGGTCAGGGATGATCCTTAGACTGACAGCAGCGTGACAGGAAAGGCAGCCCTTCTGAGGAGCAGACCGGGCTGAAGTACTCCCACGAGCAGGGTGGACAGGACCACAGGGCATGGTGTGGTGAAGAGGGCCTGGAGGCCCCCTCTGTGTGGCAGGAACCCCTGAAGGCTTGAGTAGGGCCTGGTCAGAGCTGGGAAGAGAGCAGTGGTGGCCAGGGCTGGTGGCCAGTCCATTGGATCTGGTGTGGCTAAGGGCACAGGCGAAGCAGCAGTAGTCTTGAGAGGCAGGGCCAAGCAGACTGCCTGATAGGTTTGAAAGTGGTGATTAAGAGAGAATCCAGCCCTGGCTGGTGTGGCTCAATGGATTGAGTGCCAGCCTGTGAATCAAAGGGTTGCCGGTTCGATTACCAGTCGAGGCACATGCCCTGGGTTACAGGCTGGGTCTGCAGTGGGAGGTGCATGAGAGGCAACCACACATTGATGTTTCTCTCCCTCTCTTTCTCCCTCCCTTCTCCTCTGTAAAGATAAAGAAATAAAATCTTAAAGAGAGAGAGAGAGACAGAGAGAGAGAGAATTCAGGGGAAGTCGCAGATCTGGAGGCTAGATGGTGGGAGCATCAGGTTTGGCAAAATCAAGAGTTGCTGTGACAGTGAGGTGTGGTGCTCTATCAGGGTGGATAGCAACCTCTGCACAGAGGCAGGGAGAAGACGCAGGTTGCTGGGGCAGTCTCGGACACTCAGGGCCCTTGAGGGACATCGGGGTGACATCCAGTGCAGCAGGAAGACAGATCTGGCGCTTACAAGAGGCATGGCCGTGCTAGAGAGATTTAGGAGTGTGGGAATCCATATGCACATTGGGGAGACTGGGGAGTGGGGGGTTGTGCGGCTCTGCGAGAGGTGAACTCTCTTCCTTTAGAGAAGCAGCAGGCCAGGGGGGTGAGGGCGTGGTTGGGAGGCAGAAGCTTTGGGTTTCCTGGAGAGGAGTGGGAAGGAGGCCTGGGTGCCGTCCCTGGGCTGTAGCTGGGACAGTGGCCGCAGTGAAGGAATCTGTAGGGTGTGGGAAACCCGGATCTGTGGAAGGAGGCAGTGGACATGGGCTCTGGACTGTGGTTGGGTGCAGTAGGGTGCTCAGCACTACCTTGGAGGCGGGGAGCAGTGGGAGGACCCAGGACCCACGTGTAGGACCCTTAACGAGTTGTGTGGTGCTGCCCTGGAGACTCCAGCCGAGCCACCCCGGGAACCTCCCCAGGCCAGGGTGAGGGCAGTCGGCCACTGGGCCCAGAACCTCTCCGGTGACAGGGCCAGCAGTTCAGGCCTGGAGCAGGGGTCAGGGCCAGCTCTGTCTGCTGAACTGAGCTCTCAGAAGAGGCCGCAGGACCATCAAGCGCAGCCCTGCACACAGTTACAGGCGTGGGAACTGAGGCTCTTTTCTGGACAGCACGGTCCTCCACTCACATCTGCCCCCTTGATTCACTTGTCCCTTTGTGTGGGGGTGGGGGTGGCTCTTGAGGCTTGGGGAGGATGTGCATGCTGGTCTCCCTTATCTGTGAGTCTGTGCTGCATTTCCCCCCTTTGAGTGTCTGTTCCTCACAAGAAGCCATATCCCTGATCTCCGCCAGCATCTTTCTTTAAAAAAAATTATTGCAAAATTTATACACAGTAAAACTCACTGTTAGGTTTAATTTTTTTAAAGAACAGTGTGAGGACTTCAGAGTGCCTTTCATTCAGTGGTCTGGCTCGGAGGCAGAGCTTCCTGAACTCTCCATGCAAATTCATGCGTAACATTGCGAACAAGGAGCAGGGTGGAGGGTCTGTGCAATCCCCCCACCCCACTCCAGGAGGGCAGAGGCCAGGTTGGTCTTTTGGAGGACAGGCATCTACAAGAAAGGGAGCTTGGCTCCCATGGGACACTCTCCCAACCCTTCCCTGAGGGCGTTGGGAACCCTGACTGTCCAGAGGCTTTGGCCAAGTGACCTTGTCTGACCAAGCCCTGGTACTCGGGACTAGCTCAGAGAAAGTTCTTGCCTGTGGATGATGTCATAGAGACTGAGTCTAGGTGGTGGCAGGAAGCACCTCTCAAGTCAGACAAAGGTCAAAGTCGGAGCTGCTGAGTGAAACAGTGTTTGCTACTTCAAGCAAAGTTTGAAAGGACTGATGGTGCGTTTTCAAGCAGGGACACCAGGCTGGAGGGTGCTCAGTCACCCAGCTGCCAAATGGCAGGATCGCAGCTAGCCTCCTTGCTAGGGTTTGGCCTGGCATCGTCCAGTCCAGCCGTGGCATGAGCACCCCTCGCAGCACCAGTAGAACAGACTGGGGGCGCAGTGCTCCTGTCCCTCACCCCCACTGCAGCCACTATAGGTGCCACACTACACCCAGTTCAGGATTTGTCCCCTCTGGTCCCAGGGGCCACTGTGGGCCTTGGTACCCTCTCCCTTGTGCACCTTCTTCCTTGGTGTCTGTTAACTGCCCCTCCTCTTCCACCAGCCGTGGCAACAACAGGGCTTCATCCTTCCCAAGATGCTCCCATCCCCGGAACCTTGGTGGCCTGTGACTGGATGGGTGACACCCAGGCCCCAGAACCAAGTGGGGTGGGAAGACTGTCTGCTGGGTAGGATTAAGCCCTCTGTTTTGTTATCTGGTGGCCAAACCACAGCTTCTGGTTGGATTCAGGGGCAGCAACAGTGGGCCTAGAAGGGCAGTACCTGTTCCCCCTGTGCTTCAAGTGGGTACGGAGCAGCTGGCAGGGCAGCTCTGTGTGTGGTGGCATCAGATGAACCTGGGGCTCGGCCCACCTCTTAGGGCCACTAACTGCGTGACACAGCTGGGGACCTGGTCACTCCAGACTGCAGTGGTCTGTATGTATGCTGGAGGTGGCAGCGGTGGCCTCTAAGTGCTTGGCGCATGGATTGCCCAAGATGCTGGCAAGCATGTGCCCCCACCCTGCAGGGCCCTTTGCTCAGAGAACTAGGCTGCTCCACCAGTCTACTCATCAAACTGAACTTCTTTATTAAGTGCCAAGGGTCCAGGTGGGCGCTGCCATCAGCAGCCTCCTCTGCTGAGGCCTGTGCTTGGTGCGTTTCCTAGGAGCCAGAGTCACCAACAGCCGGGTTCCTGGGGGTGATTGTGTCTTTATGAGCATTAGGCTGGTAGGTCCTGGCTCCTGGAGAGCAGCGGGGCGTGTGAAGCGGTCTCCCGTCTGTAGTGTGGCCTCCGGTCACTTCACGTGCTCGGCGGCATGCGAGGAACAGTAATACTTCTTGTGGGCAATGAAAGTGGACAGGCTGCTGAACTTGATGTTGCACAAGCGGCAATACCTGTGGTTGCCGTTGGGCAGGGGGGCCGGCGTCCCCTTACTGGGGGTCTGGACGCCCTTGTCCGAGTGGGAAGGAGGGGTTGATGGGGCTGTGGGCGGGCCGGGCAGGGGACTGCTGTCAGGAGGGCCAGTGGATGGCTCCTGGCCGTTAAGGCCATCACGGGGGGCGGCGGGCGAGGGCGTCCGGGCCTCTGCGCTGGGACCGGTTAGGGGTTTGCCCAACAGCAGGCCGTGCGCCAGGCGCAAGTGCTCGACGAGGTCCCCACGAACCAGGCCATTCGGGGGGCAATAGGGGCACACGACGGCGGGGTCCTCCGGGGCGCGGGGGCGGCGCGGTGCAGCGGGGCAGGAGAACTTCTTGTGCGCTAGGTAGGCCTCGAGACTGTGGAAGCTCACGCGGCAGGCTGTGCATTCGTGGTAGTCTGCCAGGGCCGGCAGCACTGGCGTGGGGCTGGGCAAAGGACCGGCAGAGGTCTGACGCCGCGGCTTTTTGCTCAGATCGATGGGGCCCTCGGACTGATCCAGCCCGTTTCCGCTTCCGGGCCGCGGAGACAGTGATGCTGGAGGCTCGGGGCCGAGAGCTAGCGCTGGTGGGGCGGGGCCCGGCGCTGCGGGGGCGGGACTGACCGCCTGCAGCTCGTACAGCTTACGGCGCCTGCGCGTGCGCACGGGTGGCGGTGCTGGCACAGGGATGCTGGGGAGCCCGGGGGTTCCTGGGGGTGCAGCGGGAGCCGGCCGGCGTGGCGGTGGGTCATGGCGCGAAGCGCAGTAGTAGCGCTTGTGCACCGTGTAGGTCTCGTGGCGGCTAAAGCGGATGTTGCAGGCTTCGCACAGCGTCCGACGGGGGTCGTCTTCCTCGTCCGCCCCGCTGCCCGGGCTCAGGCTGCCCTCACTGCCCCGGCCGCCCGTCTCAGCCTCGGGCGTGGTTACGTCCCCCGCCTGGTCCTCGCGCGCTCCGGGTCCTGGCGAAGAGCTTGGCGCGTCGGGTTCGGCAGGTGGCGGGGCAGGGAGTGCGCGAGCAGGGGTAGGGGGCCCCTTGGGCCTGCGAGCCGGGGGTGCGTCGTCGGGCGCGCGGCGGCCGGAGCAGTAGAGGCGCTTGTGCACGTAGAAGTTGCTGACGTTGTTGAAGGTGATATCACACTCGAAGCATGTAGCACCCTTGGGGGCCCCTGAGAGTAGGCCTGCCGGCGCCCCCGCACCCACCCCCACCTGCAGCCGGCTGTGCACCAGCTCGGACATCTTGGCCAGAATCTCCGAGGCGGGGGGCGCAGCGGGGAACTGTGGCAGGAACAGTCCACCGGGGCCAGGGCTGGAGCCGGGCGTGGGGCTGGGCAACTCAGCCTTGACCCCGGCGGGCGCGGGGCTGGGCGGGGAGGGCGTCCGTGATGCAGGGGCTGGGGGCCCTGGCTCAACCTCGGGCTCCTCGGCCGCCTCCACCTTGATGCTCCTGGGCGCCGCTGGGGGCTCACCGCTGCCCCCGTTCTGGGGGACCGCTCTGGCCTCTCCATTGGTGGCCTCGGCCAGGGCTTTCCTGTCCACTCCTGGTGATGGGGTGGACCCCAGGCCCAGGTCAGAGGAGGCCAGGGGGCCATGCAGGGCCGTGTGCTGCTGGAAGCCGGCCAGACTGTCTGCAGGAAGACCCCAAGGGCCACACTTCAGGGCTGGAGCAGGACCAGCCTGGGCCAGACCTGAGGAGGGGGCAGGGTGGGAAGGGAGAGCTGGGCTGGGTAGAGATGGTGGAGGGCCAAGGCCAAATTGATCCCCCTGGCTGTCTCATAGACCAGACCCCTCCCCTGTCCTCAGAGGGGCCCCCTGGGACTCACCTGGGGGGAGCTTGGCTGAGGGGTGCCCAGCTCCTGGCGAGTAGATCTCAGCCTTGGAGCCTGGCTGGCAGACCATGTGGCTGGTCACCAGGTGGCTGTAGAGGATGTCCCTTGTGGTGGAGATGAAGCCACAACTGTGGCAGACACCTGCAGATGGGCTGTGGTGTCAGGGCCCCGGAACTGGGGGCGCTCCACGAACACCCCCTGACCTGGCCCTGCTCCCTTCCCAGCCCGCTTACCGCTGAGTGTGTCTGTGTGCACCTTGAGGTGCCGCTCGCAGTTGGCCTTGGTGGTGAAGGCCGACAGGCAGATGAGGCACACGAAGGGGCGCTCGCCTGGAACACAGGGCCCAGTGAGGGGCCGTGATACGGGCCATGCGTGGAGGGCTCTTCAAGCCTCCCAGGACCCCGGCCTGGGCCCAGCCCCGAGCTGACCATTCAGGCAGCCGTACATGGGCTTTGTGCCCCAGGAGCTTTGGGAGGCTATGTGGTATGGTGGGAAGACCACACAGGCCTATCTGTTGCCTGGGCGTAGTGGGCACGCATGCGCTATCGTGAAGCAGGCTGGGGTCCTGGGGGGGCGTGGAGCCTCACCACTGTGGCTGCGCATGTGGATCTCCAGGGAGCTGGCACTGGGGCAGCTTTTTCGGCACTGGGGGAAGGGGCAGATACGCTCGTTGGGGTACGGCTCCTTGGTCTTCTCATCGGTGGTGGCTGAGGCAGGGGAGCTGGCATTCTGGCGGCTGGCGCAGTAATACAGGAGATGAGCTTGCAGGTTCCGCTCACTGCGGTACCAGATGCCACAGTCCTTGCAGGGGAAGACATCTTCTGTGGGGCAAGAGGTGGGTGACACCTAAGGGGACAGTCCAGAAGCAGAGGGGGGCTGCCTGCAACCCAGGGTGAGGCGGTGTATTCTCTGCAAAGTGAGGACTCTGCCCTGGCTGTCTCCTGCGTCCTTCTGCTTTGGGCAGTGAAGTTTGTGACTTGGCTTTCCCTCCCCATCACTGCTGCTCTTATCTGTTTTTTTTACAGCCCAGGGTGCCCTCTCTATGGATTTCCAGGATGCTGTGGGGCCATGTGGACAGGGGCTCTGGGTACTGCCCAGGATGCTCTCCATGCTGCCTTCCAACAGTGAGCCCATAAGGAGATGCCATGGCCTCATGGGGTGCTCACGGGAGGCGCATGGACACTTTAGTGGACACCTGCAGGAGTGGGACTCTGGTGGAGCATGTGGTTATGTCAGTTATTTGGTGGCAGTGGTCACATACAGGGGAAGGAGGTGGCGAGTGTGTGCAGGTGAATGTGTGCTGGCAGGGGGGCTATGAAGGGACGACCTGGGTGCTGGTGGAGGATGAAACAGGCGTGTGCACATCAACAGGTGTGTGAGTGGCCAGGTGCGTAGGGACCAGATGCATCAAAATCCCCAAGCACCTGGGCACGAGGTTGAGAGTTGAACATTGCTCTGAGTGGCTTCTGGGGTGAGGGTGGGAAGGAGGCGAGGCCAGGAGATGCAAGGAAGAGGAGTCCTCCTTGTTTCCTTGTCATCCCCTATATATCTGGGTGGTTCCACATCAGTTACTGACTGAATGATCACATTAATGGATCCACTAACTTTACCCCAAGTAAGCTGCCTCTAATTTGTCAGGTTCTGGAGTTTGGATCGCAGGGCTGATTTTGCCCATGGGGGAGGATTTCTCTGATGGATGCTCCACTGTTCTCTGGTTGTGTGTGTTGAGCAGAATTTAAAGGACTGCTCTGTGTGTCTGCTGCTATTCTGCGGCCAGCTGCCCCTTGGCCAAAGGTGGCCAGGGCAGGGCTTGTTGTACCTTAGAGGTAGAATGAGGGGCCCTGGGTTCCTCATCATCTGGTTTCTATTTCTGCAGGTTAGGGTGTGTTTCTCATCTTGGCTTCTCCGATGTGTGTCCCGGGTCCCTAGTTGCTGTGCAGGTGCTGCTCCTCCACCCAGGAGGCCGCCAGGTTTCCTGCTTTTCCCACTTCTCCGAAGGAACTGCCTTTGTCTGTCTGGCTGCGGTGACCACCCCTTGGACCCTGTACCTACAGTTTTTCTGGCCCTGTTTCCTTCCTACTGTGTTTTCTCTGGTTTTCAAGTTCCCTTTCACTTGGGGTCTCAAGGCAGCTCTGTTCTCTATAGACTGAGACCTTGAGCTGGGTTGGGGACCTGAGGCCACCGATGGGTTTGTTTTTATATTTGCAAAGTCAGTGCTGAGGACTGTGCTGCTGCCCATGGTGTCAAGAGAGGGGCCAGAGCCTCGGAGGTCCATTCAAGCCCTGGCCACTGCGACCCAGGGCTGACCGCAGGTGGGCTGACCACGGGTCAAGTCCGGGGTGGGTGCAGCTCAGGAAACCTGCACAGACACCTCGAGGCCAGTATTACCATGACCCCAACTTCACAGGCAAGGAAAACAGGCCAAGGGTGGTGCAGTGTCAAGAATTAAACACCAGAGTCCTTGGCAGACTTCCCCCCATCCCACGCTAGTGTCTGAAGGCCCTGTCTCTTCCTGGGGCTCTCACGCTGCCCCAGGGCTTGTGGAGCTCTGACTACCCTGAGCTCCAGCTCGGGTTCCCCGTCTGCCTTTGGGTCAGGATGCTCAGAAGGGCTCTCCTCTGACCCCCCACCAACAACGGTGCTGACTAACATCGACCTGGATGGCCACACCGAAGCGCTTGGCGTGTTGCTTGCTGCTGCCTCCTCACCCAGCCCAACTGTAGCCGGCCTGTCCCTGCGGGCTTCAGTGTCACCTCTGGCTCTGTCTCAGCTGCACCCACTTACATCAAGCCATCATCACCTGTGACTTACAGTTTTGCAACCTCACAGTTGCCACCCAGCAGCCAGGGTGATTTTAAAGCCAAACTTTGCTGCTTAAAGACTCTAGTGAGGCCTCATTGCCCTGAGAAGAAATTGGTTCTTGCCTAGAACCCCCCTCAGAGACTGGTTGCCCGCATGCCTGCCGCACTGCCAGGTTCCAGTCGCAGTGACCACCTCCCGGGCCTCGGCGGGTGACCGACCACTCAGCTGCTCTTTCCTGGCGTGCAGGTCCAAACCTGAGTGTTCTCATCTGAGCAGCTTTCCCGAGCACCTCAATAAAAGGAGCTCCGCCACTGCCTGACCACGCCATTGCTTTCCTTCCCGGATGCACCCTCCCCTGTAGCTGCTGCCGCCACTCTCGCAGTGGGCCAGCACCCCACCTTGTGGCCTTGGTGCCTCCACTGCTTGGTTCAGTGTGGGTGTTAAACGAGTATTTGTGGAAAGAGTGGATCCTATTTCACTGTCATAACTCTGAGGCTTAGTGTGTGCTGAGAAGTGGGGGCAGTCCCAGCGTTTAGTGGGCAGGGCCGGGGGTGGTCCACATGTTGGCAGGGGCTGAGAGACAAAGAAACCTGCTCTGTCCCAAAGGGAGAGGCATGGGCTCCGGTGTGTGCTTGCTTGCTGCACCTTTCCCAGTGCAAGACCTGAGTCCTGGGGACCTTGCTGCCTCCCTGCCCACGCTCGGCACGCGCTGCTGCCATGCCTCCCTGCCGCCCACTCAGGGTTGCCCCCTCACCATCCCTCAGCCAACCATGTCTCGTGCTCTAGCAGTAGCCTGGAGCCCCACCCCAAACCCCCTTCCTGGGGCCCTACTTTCAAGCTCTGTGTGCCTGCCCACTGCGGCCCATTTCCTTCTCTGCTCAGATCCCAGTGGCCACAGGTCTTTGTGCTCTCGAGCACTGAGCACTACCCGCAGCCCTGTGCCTGGGGACTGGGCAGGCCCTGCCAAAGGCGGGGCACGGGGGTGGTACTCACTGTTGATGACTGCTGTGGCCAGGATGGATGCCATGCCAGCTTGCTGGGGCAGGAGCTGGATGTCAGTATGAGAGAGGGCCGGGCAGTCAGGCTCCACTGGCTCCTTCTTCACAGGGTGGCTGGGGGTGCTGTGGGGCTCTGCTACAAGGAGTGTGCTCAGCAGTCCCCCTGCTGGCACTGGCTTGGTGAGCCTGCACCAGAGGGCTTCATCTGTAAAGGGTAAGGACACCTTGATGGGAGGGCCAGCAGCCCCAGGCCCACCACACCAGCTCTGCAGACTCCCCACATAGCCTCCTGAAGGCCTCTTCTTAGCCCTGAGTTTTGAAGCCAGAGGTGGGGCGTGGAGCCAAGGCCACGGTCAGGGAGGGGTCATGCCTGATTTACAGCTGTGGCTGGTTGGTTTCCACAAGTGGTCCTGCCTCTCTAGGATAACTGGGTGGTGGCCTGCCCAAGCCTTAGGTTTTCTTGCCCTGAGCCCATCGAGTTGGAGGGCCCCAAGGGTGGCAAGCAGAGCTGCCCTGTTTTCCAGGAAAGGGATGGCACGTGGGACAGGGCAGAGTGCCTGGGCAGGACGTGGTAGCCACTGGACCTGCCCGTCTGCTCCATTCAACTCTGCTGGCGCACTTTTCCCAGTGTGGCCTGCAGGGGGCAGTCTTGGCCAACAGGACCCCAGTGAGCTATGCAAGTGTTCCACCTCCAGTGTTCAGCACAAGGCCATTTCACTAGCTGCAAGGACCCTGGTCCTGCGTGGGCAAACACAGGGGGCTGGAGCCCTGCTGACCAGACTAGAAGGAAGGGTGAGCCAGGCAGCGCTAACTGGCCTACACCCTGGCTTGGTGTATAGTCTCATGGATGACTAATTGCTGCCAATACCCAGCCCTCCAGCTGCTTCCTGGGTCCTTAGAGTGCCCCTTGATGGTGAGGGGAGGGGGCTGGGGTTCTCACCTCCCTGTGGGTGGGAAGACAGGTACACAGGATGAAGCATTGGACCAAGGTGCATGGGGCTGGCAGGGCAGAATGGAAAGCCCAGGTCCTCACATGCTAAGTCCAGCGCCTGTCTGTCCCACGGCCAAGCCCTGGCAACCTCCAGGTGGGAAGGGGCCAGGCTGAGGAGCTGGTCACAAGGCTGCTGTCGCCAATGGCCTTTGGCTCTGTCTGGACACCAGAGCCACCCTCAGGATGGAGCTTTGCCTCCACTGGGGTGTTCAGCCAAAGGTGCCGTGTGCTCAGGTGGTGGTGAGAGTGAGGCCTCCCAGGATGTTTCGGCGAAGCAGAGCTCCCCTGCAGGGGAGTGGGGTGGGTTTCCTGTGGTCAGTAGGCCCACAGCCCTCCTGGGCGGCTACGTGGGAAAGGGCCCTGCTTGTCTGTAGAAGTTGTCACGTGTCTGTCTCCACATCCTCCCCTTATTTGTACTGGGGGAGGGGGTTTCCACACCATCTTGACACTCACACACTGGAAAGGCCATGCTGCACTTTCTTTAGGAATAAGACCATCCAGGGCAGGTGGAGCCATGGCGATGGAGACGAAAGCCAATGTATCTGAGTGGCCTGAACTCTGAATTGAGGTGAGGGGGGCAAGGACCCCCATCTTGCTCTTCCTCTGACCCACCCAGGTCCTCCCTCCTGGACCCCTTTTCCAAAAGGGGCAGAGAGGCAAGAGTGGGTCAGCATGTATAGGCCCCAGCCCAGGCTCCTCCACTGCACTGGTGGTATCCCAGGGACCTTGACAGCGGTCCTGGCTTCCTGAGACCCTGCTCCCCCATCCCAGGCCAGACAAGTGCCCACCCCCAGATGGGCATTAATTGGGTGCTAGTAGTGTGGTGACCAATCCCTTGGCCTGGTTCAAAACAGGCTAGTTTCCCTTTAAGAGCCAGCCCTGGGAGAGCCAAAGGACCTCCACCTTCCGGAAGGCTGAGAGGGAAGTGCCAGATACCAACCCTTCCTGTGGATCTCCACATTGGCCTGGGCCTCTGTCGGGGCCCGGGGCAGTGTCCTCAGCCAGCAGGCCTCATCCTCCAGTAGCAGCATCAGGGTGGGACTCTGGGGGGTCAGAAAGGAGGGGTCAGCAAGGACACAGCAGGGGGAAAGCCCATCTGGGGGCCCCTACAGGGAGACCACCTGGTGGGTGGCAGGCTGTGGGCCTGCTCCTTGTCAAGTGCTGGGTTCTCTTAGGAACTGAGACCCAGAGAGATCATGCAACATAACCCAAGGTCATGCAGCCAGCCCGTAGCAGAGAGGGGACTCCCATCCAGACCCGTGTTCTCTCCTTACTGTCCCACCACCTTAGCAGGCCTCTGGGTGCTACGGTGAGTTCCTAGGGTGCCCATGGGGGCATGGGTTCCTCCCATGTGGGTCGCCAGAGCCTCTGTGGGCCAAGGCCGAGATTGGTCCTAAGGAGATGGCCTGTCCTGACAAGGGGGCCTTCCATGTCCTCCCAGACAGTGGGGCTCCCCTCCCCCATTGCAGGGCAGGGCAGGCCCACTTTTGCTCAGACCGACTGGGGACTAGAAGGTGGTAGACATTTAAAGGACACCTGCCTGGGCCCAGCAGCTCACCGAGGTCCCCAGGCAGTGTCCCCATGCTGAGGCTGGCTTGGCACCTGGTCCCTTTCTTGTGGCTCCCGGAGATGAGCCCCTTGCCCCCCTGGCTTTAGGCCAACCTGGAGAGCAGGCAGTGTTCTCCCACCTGACAGGTGAGGAAACTGAGGCATGGGGAGGGCGGGAGGCAGGGGAGGGGCAGCCGGGCCTGGGAGCCAGCCTTCACAGCACCGGAAGGAAAGCGTGCTCTGGTCAGGCCCTCACTGGGGGTGGCCCAGTTTCCGGAGCCCTGCAGAGCGGAGGAAACACTCGCCCTCTGGCCCAGTGCGCTCTGGTGCCTGGAGGTGGCTGCCTAGGGACGGGCTGCCTGCAGCCCCACTCTGGCCCAGCTGCTGGTTGTACTCGGGGTTGTGGTACAGATCCATGGCTGACTGGTGGGCAGGGCAGAACCGTGGCCCTTTTTGCCCAAGGTTGAGGTGACCACCGCTGCCCTTTGGGCCTCAGCCCCATCCCTGGACCCTGGTTCTGGGCTCCTCTGCCTGGAGGTCCCTAAGCTCAGCAACTGAGTCCCACATGGAAAGGTATGGCGTGCATCATTTGGGTGTTGTGTTTTATGCAAATAAATGCTTTTTACGTAGAAATGTGGGACATCAGGACCTTTTACTGAAGAACCAGTGTCACTTGCTCTCACCAGGAAATACTACCACCTATATGGGGGTGGTTTTGTGCGCCCACAGGGTGCATATGGCAGTTGGAGGGGATGCCGCCACGTGGGACAGCTAGGGCCGGGGATGGGGTGTGGGGTATGGGGTGTCCTCTGACAGGTTCCAGGCATCTCCCCGCCGGGTTGGAGCCTAAGACACTCTCCTGGGCTTTGGCTGTGAGGACAACAGGGGCTCCAGAGCTGGGCATCGGGGTCATGTCCACGCTTGACCTCCACCACTGTGACACCCTCAGCAGCCCCTTTGACCACCTCTGCATCTTGTCCCCATCCTGTGGCAGACTTGGGGATCAGGCCAGTGTGCTGGCCACTCCTGGTAACACTCCCAATTACGTCGGGGCACCCTGGTCACTGAAGCAGCTGTGTGGCTCAGTCATGAAACAGGTGAGCACAGTACAGCTGGTCAGTGGGTCAGGGAGAGCCCCACCTGCCCCACTAGCACGCAGCCCTCCCTGGGCCTTGGCATCTCTCTGCAAACAGGTGACGATGCCCTTCCTGGTCGGAGTCTGGACCCATTCTCATCCTGCCACATGCTTGCAGGGCACATCTCATCTTTGGCTCTGTGACTCAGTTTCTCCTAGGACCCTGGGAAGAAGCAGTCCGTGTGAAGCCCTCCTGTGAACAGTGCCTGTGTGGTGTGCGAGCAGCACTTGACAAGCCCCCGCTAGCAACACCCTTGCTTTTGCATTCCCTTTGGTCACCAGGACACACTAGGCAGGGGCTGTGCCTTTGGGCCCAGGAGGCTGGTGTCCATGGGCCAGTGGTTGGTAAATGTCAACTGTGGGCATCTCCACCAAGGAGCCCACTTTGGGGCAGACGGTCTCTGCTTTTAGTAGACACCTGGTGATTGTAACATTGCAGAGCAGGGGGTGGGGGCTGGGTGCCAGCTGGGGGGTTCCCTGCTGGCTGGGAGGCCTCCTGAGGCCACAGGGGTGGGTCAGGCCTGGGGCAAAGTGGAACTGGTGGGGGATGGCTGGTGCAGGGGTGGGTGAACCAACGGGGCTAGCAGCAAGGCAGAGGCTGGGCCTCCTGAGTCTCTAATGAATATTAATGAGCAGAGAAGGGTGAAAAAAATTAATCTGCCTGATCCTCCGATGGGTGCTGCAGTAACGATATGAAATCTAATTATTCGTCCCAATATTTCTAAACCCTCAAACTGAGACTGACAGCCTCCCGGTCGGTTTAATGCTTATCATTCTCAGGAGTGCGTGTTCGCAGCATGATAAAAACCCCTGCTCTCAGCTTTGCTGATGCTGCAGAACCCCTAATTTTCCATGTGCACACTAAGCCGACGGAAGGCAGTGGCGCCATGTCCCTGGCCAGCTCTGTGCCTTTTGCCTGGAGCAGCCCATCTCTGTGTCTTGACGGGTACTGAGCACCTCTGCTTGGTGTTCCCTGGCTGGGCTGGGTGACAGCCCTGTCTGGGGGCAGGTGAGGAAGGAGGAGATATGGGGGCCCTAGGGGGCCTTGTGCTACACCCCAGACCTGATTTCCAGGAGGAAATGGGTCAGGAGAGCTGGGGCTTTATGACTGACTTTCAGCCCATATTCCCTCAGCCCTTAACATCGGTGTGGGCTCTCCGTTGCCCTTAGATGGGGAAAGCTGGAAAAGGGTGGGGCACAGCCATCCGAACGGCAGCACGTGCCTGCACTTGGACTCTGGGGGTGCAGGGGCCACCACACTCTGGCTCCTGGGGAGTGTAGCTAGGCCTTGCCATGCCTGCCCCTCCCCTGCCCCCCAGCCAGCCCTAGGCCAGCACCCCCACGTCTGCTGGCTGCAGCCTGGAGGCCACTCCTCTGCCCCCAGGGGCATGTCGAGCCTCGGGGGCTAAGGACATCCACGAGAAGCAGATTTCAATCTCTGCCTCTGCTGTGCAGGGGCTGGCACACCACGGGGTTGCCCCATGTTACTCTTTTCCTTTTTCCCCTGCTGCTTTCCCCCAATTCCAAGCAGCCCAGGGAACAGAGGCCCTTTTCTCTTGCAGTGAAGGCACTGGGCCAAGGCAAGCCCCCCTTCCTGGTCTGCCCTGCCCATGGGCAGTGGGGTGCGAACTTGGGAGGGGCTACTCATAACCCCCAACCTTGCCCTGGCCCTTCTGCCCAAGCTAGCAGTCATGTGTGCCACCAGCTGCTCTCCCTCCTTGGGTGCCCCCCGACTCGGTGCCCAGTCTGGGTCCAGCTCGCTGGCCAGGCCTGGTCAGGAGAAAGCGAGAAGCCCTGCCTGACCTGCCTACAGCCCCTCAGGGTTGTCCCGGTCCCTCCCTCCTGGCTCCAGGCCGGCCCCACCCAGCCCCAGGATAACGGGTGGCCACTTTAAATTCTCTGGGTGCATCTGAGAATGCTCCTTGTTTCCCAACAAAGAGGTCAGTGTCTGGATTCTCTGCCCGCTGATAACCATCGGAAACCCTATCTCCGCCGCATCCGCTGTGACAACTTTATCTGAGGCTGTTCCCAAACCTCGCGGTGCTTCTCATGAAGCCGCATGGAAGGGGAGGTGGGGGCCCCATTCTGGGGGAGGGTGGCCTGGCACAGGGAGCAGATGGCCCTGCAGAAGGTCAGCAGGGCCACAGGGCCTCCCCCAGGTCACTACAGGCAGGTTTGTGGGAGGGCAGGTCTGGGGCAGGCCCAGATGGGCTCTGACTGGGCCCCCCAACCTCTGTTCTGCAGCCCACCCTGCGAAGCCCCGCCCATCTCCCCCTACCCTCACCACTACGCTCACCTTGCCAGAGGCAATGGCCTTTCGCTTCTCAGGCCCCTTTTATCTCCCCAGACCCTGTGAAAACCCATTTCACAGGAGAGGAAACTGAGGCCCACAGAGGTGAATGGCGTCCAAGACCACAGGACGTGGCCTTGTGTGCGCAGGACTGGAACCCGGGTATGCATGATCTCCACTGAATCACTGCATCCCATCCATTCACTCACTCACTCATTCAAAACCAGTCCCAGAGGACGTGCTTTGTGCCGGGTGCAGGGATGCCGTGAACAGAACATGCAGTCCCTGATGTCCCGGCGTGGATGATGGAGTGGGAGGCCAGCAAGAAACATGCTTTGGAGGCTGCAGGGAAAGTGCTGGAGAAGCAGGAACGAGTCTGAGCTGTGCCGAGGCCTGGACGGGGCAGGGGCTGGGTGTGGGCGGCCATAGCCCAGGCAGCGGGGCGAGGCCTGGAGGGGTGAGTGGGGCACTCTGTGGGCACCAGTGGAAAGGGGACACGGTGGGGGTGGGGAGACAATAATAGGGGAGGGAGCAACAGGGAGGAAGAGATGGCGTGGGGAAGGACCCTGTGGCCCCCAGCTCTTTTCCTCAGGGTGGCCCTAGGGCTCAGGCAGGGAGCCGGTCCTTAGGGTGGGCCTGTGCCCTGGCCCCAGGGGAGGGGTGGCCAGAGCTGAGGAGAGGTGATCTCTCCCAGCCCCCAGCATGGGTCTTTCTGGTGTGGTGGGGGAGGTCCTGAGTGCTGACACTAGCTGGGTCCTCCTCCTGTGTCTCCAGGAGGCCAGTCTGGGTTGGCCCTGTAGCTACAGCCCCTTCATGCCGACAGGGAAACTGACGCATGGAGAGGAAGCGTGCCAGGGACCCAGGAAGGCCAGCAGCAGGTCTGCTGTCTGTGGCGTGTCCCCAGAAGGACACCCACACTGTTCTGTTTCCTGCGCTGGCACTCCAGCCAAGGCCAGGACTGGGCACCCTCAGGGGCTGTCCCACAGAGGGCCAGGGGCCCGCCCGGCCTGGCCCTGGCCCTGCCAATTGCTAGCTCTGTGGAGCGGGCTGAATGTGGCCTCCAAGGATGT